CGGGCAACGTGCACGGCCGGCCCGCCAATCCTTACCTAGGAGGGGCGGAGAGGCGCGCCAAAACCAGGCAGGGGCATGCTGTGAGGCCGCAGAGGAGTTAGCGCAAAGGGGTTAGGGTTAGTCTGCCTGCCTGCCTGCCGCGGGGTGGGGGGAGTTAGCCGTGTGACCGTCACGTGGCCAGGGTTAGCCCCCTCCTCGGGAACCCTCTCACAGTACCTCGGGGGGAGTCACGTCCCTTGGTCGATGGGCTCTTGGGGCTGGAGAGGGTGATGACCCCCCTAGCTCGGTGACCTGGTGCCGAGAGACAGGACAGGACGGTGGGGAGGAGGCAGCGATGGCGCGGGGAGGGGGGCTCGCTCTTGCAGACGGAGGAGGGGTGGGGGCACGAAGGAGGATGAGCAGGCGAGATGGATGGACAGGCCCTGCCCCCGCCCCAGGAGAGTCCCCCCGGCCCTCGGGAAGCAAAGGCTAGGCATCGCCTGCTCTACCGGCACCGTGGCCAAACGCTTCTCACCTCCGCGGCTAAGAGTGCCGGGCCCTTCGTCCTTCCCTCCCATCACCTGCTTCATAAGGGATCCCAGCTTGGGCTGCCGCTTCTCGGAAGAATCTGTAGCACCAACAGAACGGGGCACATGTGCCATTCCCGCCGCGGGGGAAGAGGAGCGGGCACTGGCCTCTGGGCGGCAGGCCAGGAAGGGGGGGGGGGGGGCTGGGGGCGGGGGGGGGTGCCCTTCCCTCCCTCCCTCCCTCCGCCTGGGGGGCAGCGGGGCTCCCCCCCCTCCCCAGCTCCTTCTCCAGCCCCAGAGGGGGACGGACTTCTCTCCCAACCACCCCCGAAGGAGCGGAGGTGAGAGCCTGGGCGTGGGGAGCAGAGCCGGAAGGCGGGCCACCTTCAGAGGGCCACCCTGCTGGCACTGGAGGGGGTGGGGGTCTCTCTGTCTCTCTCTCAGGAAGATGCCTGCTGTGACTGAGCCAGACCCTCTGGGACCACCGAGGTCCATCTCGTCTGTTCAGACTGGCAGCGACTCTCCGGGGCCTCAGGCAGAAAGAGGCCTTTCCCATCCCCTCCTGCCTGGTCCTTCTCAACTGGAGAAGCCTCTCTCCGGGGGCTGGGCCTGGAGCCTCCTGCCAGCCCAGCCGAAGCTCTTCTCCCCCCCCCGCAGCTGTGGCCCCCCCGCTCTTCAGCTTGAGGACAGCGTCTTCGTCAGCCCTCCCCCCTTCCCCAACAAGTGTTCACACAGACAATGGGTGAGGGTGAAGATGCTGAGCCGGGGGCACAGGGGAGGCAGGTGGGTGGAGATGGCACCGGACTCACCTGGAGGCTGCTTCTCCGGGGTGGGCGGCCCAGGCTGAAGCCCCCCCCCTCCCCAGTCCACGTCGGGTGGAGGAAAGCGCCCCATCCCTTTGCTTTCAGCGGAGAGGATCCAGCTGAGGATTTTGGTGGGAGAACTGGTCTGGGAGTGTGTGGAAGCGCTTGGAGTTTTTGCAGATTCCTGGCTGCTTGAGAGAGGAAAGGGCATTGTTTGACTGTGATTGACTGCAATTGAGAGGAAAAGGAAGGGGCATTGTTTTGCATGTGATTGAGTGCCTGGGTGCATTTGAATAGCTGCTGCCAGCACTCTGCTGGGGGAGGCCTCTATTTAAGGAAACACCTGGCCAGAGGCAGAGGAGACCCAGCTGAGCTCTGAGCAGGAGCAGGAGCAGGAGACAGAGGGGTGAGTGGTTTTTTATTTGCTTTCAGCGGAGAGGATCCAGCTGAGGATTTTGGTGGGAGAACTGGTCTGGGAGTGTGTGGAAGCGCTTGGAGTTTTTGCAGATTCCTGGCTGCTTGAGAGAGGAAAGGGCATTGTTTGACTGTGATTGACTGCAATTGAGAGGAAAAGGAAGGGGCATTGTTTTGCATGTGATTGAGTGCCTGGGTGCATTTGAATAGCTGCTGCCAGCACTCTGCTGGGGGAGGCCTCTATTTAAGGAAACACCTGGCCAGAGGCAGAGGAGACCCAGCTGAGCTCTGAGCAGGAGCAGGAGCAGGAGACAGAGGGGTGAGTGGTTTTTTATTTGCTTTCAGCGGAGAGGATCCAGCTGAGGATTTTGGTGGGAGAACTGGTCTGGGAGTGTGTGGAAGCGCTTGGAGTTTTTGCAGATTCCTGGCTGCTTGAGAGAGGAAAGGGCATTGTTTGACTGTGATTGACTGCAATTGAGAGGAAAAGGAAGGGGCATTGTTTTGCATGTGATTGAGTGCCTGGGTGCATTTGAATAGCTGCTGCCAGCACTCTGCTGGGGGAGGCCTCTATTTAAGGAAACACCTGGCCAGAGGCAGAGGAGACCCAGCTGAGCTCTGAGCAGGAGCAGGAGCAGGAGACAGAGGGGTGAGTGGTTTTTTATTTGCTTTCAGCGGAGAGGATCCAGCTGAGGATTTTGGTGGGAGAACTGGTCTGGGAGTGTGTGGAAGCGCTTGGAGTTTTTGCAGATTCCTGGCTGCTTGAGAGAGGAAAGGGCATTGTTTGACTGTGATTGACTGCAATTGAGAGGAAAAGGAAGGGGCATTGTTTTGCATGTGATTGAGTGCCTGGGTGCATTTGAATAGCTGCTGCCAGCACTCTGCTGGGGGAGGCCTCTATTTAAGGAAACACCTGGCCAGAGGCAGAGGAGACCCAGCTGAGCTCTGAGCAGGAGCAGGAGCAGGAGACAGAGGGGTGAGTGGTTTTTTATTTGCTTTCAGCGGAGAGGATCCAGCTGAGGATTTTGGTGGGAGAACTGGTCTGGGAGTGTGTGGAAGCGCTTGGAGTTTTTGCAGATTCCTGGCTGCTTGAGAGAGGAAAGGGCATTGTTTGACTGTGATTGACTGCAATTGAGAGGAAAAGGAAGGGGCATTGTTTTGCATGTGATTGAGTGCCTGGGTGCATTTGAATAGCTGCTGCCAGCACTCTGCTGGGGGAGGCCTCTATTTAAGGAAGCACCTTGCCAGAGGCACGAGCCTCTGGCACGAGCCGAAGGGCGAGCTAAAGGGCTCTTTGCCCGTGGCTCTTAGCCCAGGGACTCTTGGACTAGGGGCTCTGTGAGACGCCCAAGAAGAGGCAGAAAGTGAAAACCCTAGGCTCCTTGTTTTCCCCATAAAGTAATTTGACTTTGACAAGAAAAAAACACATAAATACAAAGGGATTTAAAAGGGGGATTACATTTACTTATTTTAAAAGAATTATGAAGCCAGAATGCCAGCAGGGGGTTGGGGGCTATCCAGTGTTTTGCACAGAGTGTCACATGTATGACTATCTGCCCACTGGGCAGAAGTCTTGGGTGTGTGCTCGGTGCAAGGAGCTCCTGGTTCTCAGGGAACGTGTGTGCTCCCTTGAGGCCAAGGTGGCTGACCTGGAGAAGCAGAGACAGTCAGCTAGGCGCACAGAAAAGACTCTCGGGGACTTGTTAGCTACGTCCCACTCTGGATCTGGCAGCCCCGCTGCTGTCAGGGAGCATGAGGGTCTAGGGGAAACAGGGCACCGTGCTGAGGATAAGGGGAATGTGCCCTCAGAAGGGACCTCTTCCCCAGCTGGTGAGCGGTTATCCTTTTGCACCAAGGAACCATCCCTGGGCAGGGTGGGAGGGGGGCTCTTGGTAGTGGGTGATTCGATCCTTAGGCAGGTAGACAGCTGGGTGGCGAACCCGCGTACTGACCGTATGGTGACTTGCCTGCCTGGTGCAAAGGTAGCGGACATTACGCGTGTTTTAGATAGGCTGGTAGATAGTGCTGGGGAGGAGCCAGTGGTCGTGGTGCATGTCGGCACCAACGATGTGGGGAAATGCAGTCGTGAGGTCCTGGAGGAGAAATTTAGGCTGCTGGGCAGGAAACTCAAGGCCAGGACCTCCAAGGTAGCCTTCTCAGAAGTGCTACCTGTTCCACGCGCAGGGCCGGAGAGACAGGCACAGATCAGGAGTCTCAATGCGTGGATGAGACGATGGTGTAGAGGGGAAGGGTTCAGGTTTGTTAGGCACTGGGATTCTTTTTGGAACAAGAGGGAGCTGTACAGGCGAGACGGTCTCCACTTGTCCCGAGAAGGAACCAGGCTGCTGGCGCTTAAAATCAAAAAGGTGGCAGAGCAGTTTTTAAACTGAATATTGGGGGAAAGCCGACAGGAGATGAAAAGTCTCTGGTTCGGGTTGGCTCATCTCAGAGAGATGAGGGGGTACCTGTTGCTTTTCTACAGGGAGGTGGATTGAAATTGTCCACTGAGACCATGGCTAGTGACATGGACTGCCTGACAAGGTCTCGAGATTGCAAGAGGAAGGTGGCAGGCTTAACCAGTATGGGAAATTACAGCTGTTTCTATACAAATGCTCGAAGTGTCCGAGGTAAAATCGGGGAGTTGGAGTGCTTGGTGTCAGAGGGAAAAATAGACATTGTGGGTATTTCAGAAACTTGGTGGGATGAGGAAAATCAGTGGGATACGGTGATTCCCGGTTATATATTATATCGGAAGGATAGGGGGGGAAGGGTTGGAGGTGGGGTGGCTCTGTATGTCAGAGAGGGTATAAAGTCCAGAAAGATCGAGAGGCTAAGAGAATTGGATTCGCTTCTTGAAGTTCTGTGGGTTGAAATAGGGGGGCCAAAAGGAAACTTAACACTGGGAGTTTGTTATCGCCCACCGGATCAAAAGATAGAGGAGGATTATAAAATGATGAATGAATTAAAGATAGCAGCTAGACAAAAACACTGTGTCGTAATAGGTGATTTTAACTACCCACACATTGATTGGGTCAATATGTGTTCTAGTCGAGAGAAAGAGATTGAGTTTCTAGACACTCTAAATGACTGTGCTATGGAGCAGATGGTCATGGAACCTACCAGGGGAGAGGCGATCCTTGATTTGGTCCTAAGTAACACTCAAGACCTGGTGAGAGATGTAAAAGTGATTGCACCGCTTGGGAACAGTGATCATAATGTTGTTGAGTTCAACATTTGTACAAATAGGGAATTGGCCAAAAAGACTCACACAACCACTTTTAACTTTAAAAGGGGTAATTTTTCTGATATGAGGGGACATGTGGGGAGGAAACTGAAGGGAAAAGTAGAAAGGGTCAAAACCATTGGGGAAGCTTGGAAACTGTTTAAAACTACAATTCTAGAAGCTCAAATAAAATATATTCCGCAGGTTAGGAAAGGCACAAACAGGTATAAGAAAAAGCCTACATGGTTAACAAACAAAGTAATGGAAGCTGTAAAAGGTAAAAAGGATTCCTTTAAGCGGTGGAAAGCTAGTCACAGTGAGGCTGATAAAACAGAACACAGGCTATGGCAAATAAAATGCAAGTCTGTGGTCAGGCATGCAAAAAGGGAATATGAGGAGCATATAGCAAAAAATGTAAAGACCAACAATAAAACTTTCTTCAAATACATTAGAAACAGGAAACCAGCCAGGGAGGCAGTGGGGCCCTTGGATGACCAAGGGGTAAAAGGAGTACTGAAGGATGATAGGGAAATGGCTGAGAAGCTAAATGCATTTTTTGCCTCCGTCTTCACTGTGGAAGATGAGAGGTGCTTGCCCACTCCAGAGCCGCTGAGTTCGGGAGGGGTGTTGAAAGACCTGAGTCAGATTGAGGTGACGAGAGAGGAGGTCCTAAAACTGATAAACAACTTAAAAACTGATAAATCACCAGGCCCAGATGGCATACATCCAAGAGTTCTGAAAGAACTCAATTGTGAACTTGTGGATCTCCTGACAAAAATATGTAATCTCTCCTTAAAATCAGCCTCCATTCCTGAGGACTGGAAGGTAGCTAATGTCACTCCCATCTTTAAAAAGGGTTCCAGAGGAGATCCGGGAAATTACAGGCCAGTCAGTCTGACGTCGATACCGGGTAAATTGGTGGAAACCATTATTAAGGAAAGAATTAGTAGGCACATAGATGAACAAAACCTATTGAGGCAGACTCAGCACGGTTTCTGTAAGGGAAGATCTTGTCTCACTAACCTGTTAGTGTTCTTTGAGGGGGTGAACAAACATGTGGACAAGGGGGATCCAATAGATATTGTTTACCTTGACTTCCAGAAAGCTTTTGATAAAGTTCCTCATCAAAGGCTCCTAAGCAAGCTCAAAAATCATGGGATAAAAGGACAAGTCCTTTTATGGATCAAAAACTGGCTAATTAATAGAAAACAGAGAGTGAGTATAAATGGGCAGTTCTCCCAGTGGAGGGGTGTAAGCAGTGGGGTACCACAGGGATCAGTACTTGGTCCACTGCTTTTTAACTTGTTCATTAATGATTTGGAGTTGGGAGTAAGCAGTGAAGTGGCTAAATTTGCGGATGATACGAAGTTGTTCAGGGTGGTGAAAACCAGTGAGGATTGTGAGGCACTCCAAAGGGATCTGTCAATTTTGGGCGAGTGGGCGTCAACATGGCAAATGGGGTTCAATGTGGCCAAGTGCAAGGTGATGCACATTGGAGCCAAAAATCCTAACTATAAATACACGTTGATGGGGTCTGAACTGGCAGAGACAGATCAAGAGAGAGATCTTGGAGTTGTAGTAGATAACTCACTGAAAATGTTGAGACAGTGTGTGACTGCAATAAAGAAGGCCAATGCTATGCTGGGGATTATTAGGAAGGGTATTGAAAACAGATCAGCCAATATCATCATGCCCCTGTATAAATCAATGGTGCAACCTCATCTGGAATACTGTGTGTAGTTCTGGTCACCACACCTTAAATAGGATATTCTAGCTTTGGAAAAAGTGCAGAAAAGGGGAACTCGAATGATAAAGGGGTTGGAACACTTTCCCTATGAGGAAAGGTTAAGGCGCTTAGGGCTCTTTAGCTTGGAGAAACGACGACTGAGGGGTGACATGATTGAGGTTTATAAGATTATGCATGGGAAAGAGCAGGTAGAGAAAGAGGTACTTTTCTCCCTTTCTCACAATACAAGAACCCGTGGGCACTCCATGAAATTGCTGAGCGGTCGGGTTAGAACGGATAAAAGGAAGTACTTCTTCACCCAAAGAGTGATTAACACTTGGAATTCACTGCCACAGGAGGTGGTGGCGGCTACAAGCATGGTCGGCTTCAAGAGGGAATTAGATAAGCCTATGGAGCAGAGGTCCATCCGTGGCTATTAGCCACAAGGTAGAGATAGGGACTCTGGGGCAAGGGATGCTCTGTCTTCTTGGTGCTGGG